CAACATTTTGATTGGATTTGTTTTTCTGTCTAGAGGGTTTAGGATTGACAGATTTTCCATACACATATTTAAAATCCCTGAAGGAGTGGCATAGGAATCAGAAACTGATTAGGAGGGAGAGTCAGGATAGGACTGTGCATTCATTCTCAACTAACTTCAAGACAAAAAACGGTTTGATTGATATGTCCTCCTAGATGCTAGAACAATGACCCATAGCACAAGATAATGCAGGATTACTGCTGTTGCTGCTTTAAGATAATTAAACAAATCTTCAAATAATGTCTGACAGACAAGACAAGTCTTGGAAGTAATGAACTCTGTAAATCTTAAATCCTATTGAATGTTGACAGTCATCAAAGAAAGGAAAAATACAAACCAGCGATTGGAGATTTTTTAGTTTAAAACACACTGACTAGTTAACCACTTTAACTAGAATGTTTAGAGTGTTGCAAGCATGCTGTTCTCTCTTCCTGTTGCTCTTTTTAGACTGTTTAAAGAAAAATCTAAGGTAGTCTCATAATGATGTGTCTAACAAATGCTATTATGATTTCTAATTACCTTTCTAAATTCTCATGAAGCTAAATAATGAAAGCAGTGTAAGTATTATCTACCTTTCATATTAATACACATGTGGAAAAATCTTTTTCTCATGCAGTAAAGCCATGCACAAGCCGTCTAATCAGCTTGTAAGCAGTGGTAGCATTTTGCAAAATTCTTATCTTGATTCTCCATGACTTGTGAGATGTCAGTGGCAAGGAATATCAGAGCTGTCTGTTACTTCTTTATTCACCTTATAACGCACTTTTTTCAAAATTGCTTTGTGTTAGAAGGCTAAGACCTGCAGTTCTGATTAAAATTATCTTTTGTGCACTTTTTTTGGCAATGTTTTATCAGGATATGCTGCAACAAAACTGATGCACTTATGCACACTATGGTTTAGAGAGCTGTATGCTGTCCTTAAATTCTTCTAGCATTTGATTATATCTGAATTGAAGGCAGCACTTACTTTCTGGTAACATTTAAGAAGACAACTTATTATTTTGTAAGGCTTAGTGAAAGATTGATAATAACTGATGCTCTTGTAACATGCCTACTGTGTGGAAGGTAAGTTGGGAGCAAGAGGTTATTTTCTTTGAATTAAGTGGTCTTGTAATATAAACTAAAGTGCTCAATTCTGTGATGGACAACAGTTTTGAAATGTAGCCTTTCAGTTCTGTAAATATTTTGCTGTTTTCCCCTAGCAGTTGAATTCAGGATCAAGACACTGGATTATCTTTTCTAAAATCATATCATTCTTTTCTCTGTCAGATAAAAAATATTCTAGAGCTTTTTCTTGTTTTCATGTATTATTATTCCAAAGAATTGAATCCTAACAGTGAAAGAACACAAAATTTAATGGCATCAAAAATGGAGACTACAGAGATTGGAATTGAAATTAGACAAAAAAATTATTAATTTCAATTAAAAAGTGAACTATAAATACTTTCTAAAATTTATTGAATGTGACTTTTTTAATATGTATTCCTTATGTTTCTCAGATACAACCCAAAGAAGCAAAAAAGATCTGGATCATAAACTTACATAGCCTTGAAATAATATTTTTAAAATACATGACTATTTCAATGAGTGAAATTTGAAACAAGCAAACAAACAGAAAATATTTAACAATACTCTTAATCAGAAACAATATTTTTATTACTGTATGTGCATACAAGATACCATAAATAACTTATAAAAATAATTTGAAGACCTAGAATGGAAGAATATTTTATGTAAAATAGCTGTCTCAAAGTTACGGTATATGCTTTGTTAAGACTGTCAGCCATTCAGAAATATCTCTTTTAATGAGTTTTCATATCCAGGTAAAATTCTCAGATAAAATGTGTTGGCAAGTTTCTTGAGATCTCATTTTCAAGATACATACGAATGTTGACATGTATCTTCTCTTCTCTTGGACATTGGTTATAATCCATTCCCTACTGATATAACCTAAAAATTTATACCCTTTGCAGATTTTTGCAAAGGTTTTGGTGGACTGATTCCTCTTGAAAAGGATTTATTCTAATTCGGCATTCTTCTCAGACATCTTGGCAAAAAAAGAGAGACAAGGGATACAATCTTGAAAGTTTTAAGAGCAAATGCATAATTTTAAAATTTAGAAGGATTTTGTTCCTCAGAATGTTTTAGCTAAGTCTTTAATTCCAGCCGTGAGAGCTGTATAATGGTAAAAAGTGGTGTAGTGCTGAGTTGCACCATTTACTTCTTAATGGATTCCCTATGAAATTCCTGACTTATATGCTAGGTTCCTCACACAGTGGAAATTCCAAGATCTTCAAGCCTTAGAAATTTAGCCTGTAAGCCATTATGAAATACTAAATGAAACCTTGCCCTTTTAAAATATTTCAGGATTAATTTCTATTCCATAATCATAATGGCAGTTTTGATGTTAAGCAACAGCACTTTAGTAGAAAAGAGGGGATTCTAAGAGAGTTGAATATTTTCTTTCGAAGTATAGTAGGACAAGGAGGTACAGTTTTCTACTTTCTACACAATACTCAGCAAAGATACCATATGCATTAACATTTGACATGTTACATTCAGACCATTCAATTAGGAATTTTAGCCACCTCATTCACACAAAGAAAGCTGTCTTGGATGTCAACCCAGTGCACATAGCAGAGCTCACTTCAGCCAGAAATGCTAATTTTTTGCCCCTGAAGGGCATGTTCTTGACTCTGAACCAGAGAAATATACCTTCTTCTTCTTTGGACTCACAGTTTAAGCTTTTTTTAGTTGTAGGTGGTAAAATAATTTCTAGTGTATGTTGAGTAGGCATTATTTCAAACTCAGCAGGAGAAAGAAATGTTTCAAAGGAAGTGTATCACACCCACAGCAAGATTACCCTTTCCTTCAATTCCCACCTGCCCATTTCCTTATTCATGCAAAGGATTAGGGAAGAGGGCATTTGTTCAGGATTTTTTGGATTCATGTTCAGTTCTAATTCCTGATTAAGACAAGTCATGTTTGCACTCTTCTGCACAAAACAGAATTTTATGTAAACCTACTGAAGTTCTCAGTGAAACAGGAGCTACCACTGAAGCTCTCCCTCTTCTGCTGTGTGCTCTCATCCCTAATCTACAGAACATCTCACATTTTCCCTTTCTCACTTTCTCTGTTCCTCTGTTAACTGCTACCGTGCCAAGTGGAACAGGATCAGGAGGCAGCAACTGCAAGTGACTTTACCTTGGAGTGGTCTAATGCCTGTAGGTTATGGCTGTTTACTGAGACACAAGCTTAGATTTCTCTGGCAGAAGATGCTATTTTATTGACACACTTAAATGTGACTGATGTTCAGCTCTAATGCTCCAGCTGATGACTGGCTGCACTGAAGAAATTTATTCTTTAGCAGTTGCCACATTTTTTAAGGAACTTGGTTTGTTAGGTCCTTTCAGAGAATACCTATTGGACTGATAAACATGCATGGAGAACTGGAATGTGAATTCTAAAAGGATCCACGACTAAGCCAAGCACCAGTGTGTTTCTCAGAATTTCTACTATTGCCAAATGACAAAGCTGTAAAATTTAATGGGGAAAGCTGAGTGCCTTTCTGCTTAGAGTCCTTTCAGCCCTGGAGGCTGGAAGCTGAATGCAGACTTTTATGAATGCCGCTTCAATCTAGGTAGGGTAGGATGCTTAAATATTTTCTGCATCTAATCTTCAAGCTTCAGGTTTGTACGAATAATGAAGATATAAGTTCAGAAATAAAGGAGGGGTTTTTTTAAAGGCCAAATGAGACAATAATATATTGATTACCACTAACCAAACAAAATAAAAAAATGGTCACAAGATAGTTATAATAATTCTAGATGCTTTGACTTTTTTAGTTCTTGTTTGATAAATTGTTTGTTTGTTTTTAATTTGTTCATTTGCCTTTTTGTTTCTGATCATCTCCCTGGCCTGGAGATTAATTATTAAGAGAGAAAAATGCAAAGGGTTAGACCACACCTCAAATTTGTTTTGGCTGAGAGCAATTGTCAGAGGCTTGGCTTAACATCTCAACTTCTGGGATGTGTTATTTAGCTAGTACATTTCTCCATTAGATGCAAAACGTTTGAGTTAAACTATGATGCAGAGCCCAAAAGTGAGACTTTTTTCCTTACTACCATATGTCATTTGATACTCCAATTCTCACACTGAGAGAAGGCTAATTGCTCAGCACACTATTAGCAGTTGAAAATTCAGTCAGACTGAGAGAATAGGGAGATTTTATTTTACTTTTCAAATTTCTTGTACTGCAAGCTGGAAAAAGGACTTTGAGGATTTGATGGAAAAATGTTAATAAACTTTAATAATACACATTTTGTAAAGCTCAACAAAACTCAATTGCTTATTTGGGTTTTTTTTTATTTTGCAAACACCTACTCCATAAATGATAACCACTAGTGGGAAAAGTTTATATACAGAGGATATTATATATAATGGAGTAAATATCAATTTTCAGTAATGGATCTGGATTTTAAGAGTATTGAAACATGAATTCATGTTTATAAACTTTTATAAAATTTGTATACTAAAACAATATTTTGTTGAATATCTGTTACTTAAGTCACATAGAAATACAATTATTATTTTGAAATATGGCTAAGGGGATTCTACTGAATGTCTAACATGCATGTTACATTCAGATACTGTACTATAAAGCTAAACTGTTGACAGAAAATCTGCTTGAAGTAGTTTTATGTAACATATGCATCCAGACTCAGTACCCGCCAGAAAAACAATTGTACAGGCAAGGTGATTTTTACAGTCATCACAGTTTGATAAGTAATTTTAATTATTATGTAACACATGTAATAAGGCCAGCAATTTGCTTTGAGCTTCAGACTGGGACAAAGCAAAGACTGACCAGCTGTGCCAGTACAGTGAATCTTCTTCTAGACATTGCAGTTAGTGATTTCTTACAGCTATTTTTTCTCTTGTTCCTCTATTTCCTTCTGTAGAGGTCCTTCTGTAGTGCCATGGTAGAGGAGCTAAGGATGTCTCTGAAGTGTCAGCGTCGACTAAAACACAAGCCACAGGCCCCTGTTATTGTGAAAACAGAAGAAGTTATCAACATGCACACGTTTAACGACAGAAGGTTGCCAGGTAAAGAAACCATGGCTTAGAGCTGGGAAGCCAAAAACCCCAAGCACAAACTGTCGTCTTTTTTCCAAACAACCTTGCAAGAATGTTTCCTGTGGAAATATGCAACAAGTGCAAAATAAAATGAGTTACCTCATGCCGCTGTGTCTATGAACTAGAGACTCTGTGATCTCAGCAGTTGCAATGGCCAGACTCGAATCACAAGCATCATGGATCAACAAAGTTATGCAGGGTTACGCTGTTTGTCATGGGTTTCCACCATTCTGAATGAATGTTCCATGTGAGTTTTGTGGCTGGTTTCAAATGCAGTCTCAGTGAGAAGTTACAGGTTCCTTTTGAAGTTCAACGGTTGCCAGAAAAGAGAGAATAAATGTTCAAGATGATACAAACCACAGAAGGAGTCTAGTAAAAGTAATGTCTCAGAACTGTAGTGGAACAAGAAACCATATGCTCTTCTGAACTTCCCAGCACAGAAAAGTTGGTAACTGCTGGTAGACTGAAACTACCATCTGGACAAGGCGATATGATCTTCCTGGATGGAAGAGATGTTAAAAGTGAAGAAATATGAATCCCACAAATAGAAGAATAAATATGATGATGCTCACCTGCTTTTTTTTTTTTTTTTTTTTTTTTTTTTTTGGACTGTTTGTGACACTGAACTAAGTAAATAATAATTACAAAAAAAAAATAAAAACAGAATTTAGCTGGGTTGGAACTTTGATCTAAAAAAATGACAAAAATATTTCCAGAATTTTGACCCAATTTTTAGATGAAGGAAAGTTTCCTTAGTACAAAGGAATGTATCTTACAACCTTTAGATATAAGCAATTAATTTTCTTTTCTATAATTGTGAAAAGAGGGGAGGGGGGTGGGAAGCAGTGTATTTCACACATAGAGGGCTTGCATTTTAGCCTGAATGGGTTTTGAAACACTTGTTCCTGCTACTAATTGAACTCAATGGAGCCTGTGCGATTCTCGCTAATGTTGGAAGAGGGATGGGTCACCTAAAAGAAGTGAATGTCAAGAACTTAAAGGAGGACTGCATTTTTCAATACAGTCACAGTACTAAATGAACAAAATTCTTGAGCAGTTTTTTTTTTTTTCCAAAAAAAAAAAAATGTTCAGGTTTATTTGTGGAAATGCAAGATTTCTATGAAAATAGTTTTTGTATGGAAATTTTTGTAATACTTTTTATCAACAAAATAAGAACATGTGTTTCTGTCAGGGGTGTGATGCCAAGCATGAGTGGTAGTGCGTGCGCACCACCAACGTTTGGTGAAAACTATTTTTATCATGAAAAAGGAATCTTAGAAGAGACATATTTTCAAGTTATATAATATAAAAAAATAGGTGCACTACCACCACTGCTTACCATGCTACACCCCTGGTTTCCACTAAGCTGATAACATGCTGTCATGAACAATTGTGTGTAAATGGTAAAAGACACAGACCTCTTGACCACATTGTGATAGAAGTTAATATGCACTCAGTTTGCTGTTTGAATCCAATGCACAAATTTAAAAAAAAAAAAAAAAAAGTACAAAAGAAAGCATTAAATTTATGTCGGTTTTAGTTGGTTTGGTTTTGCTGTGTGTTTTGAGCAACATATGTGCAGTACTTTGTGTCAGTACTGGTACTTAGCTTCAGCTTAGTGCCCTATCCTGATGATTCTTTCCACTAAATTTGTGACAAGAGAGTTTGCTGGGAGTTCTGACAGAAGCCATTACAGCACATTGTGATAATATTTGCAGCATTTGGTTCTTAGCTGCTATAAAGCTAACTTCTATGTCCTGACTGTGGTGAGTTCCTGGACATAACATTTTGAAATACTGCCCTACAGATGCTGAACCTTGCACCACTGTCTACTGTAAATTAATTTGTATCTCAACGAGAAATGTATGGTATGGACTATGTAAGAATGTTATGTCAACCAAAAAAGATTATGAAGATGGTCTTTACATGGAAAAAAAATAATTTGACTAATTAGGAAACCCCCCAAAAAACATTAAAATAATCATAGATAATATGTCATTGGTGAGTAAAGAGATTGGTTGTTTACTCAGGCTTAATTTAATCTTATCATCCTCTTTATGGCACAGAAATATAAGATATATCATCCAAACTGTAGAAGTTATATAATGAAATTTAGGGGTAAATGGGAGGTTTGTGTCTACTACCCAGTTATCATGAATCTTCGTAGAGATTGAGCTGGCCATTTCCATTGTGAGCAGGGACTGAGAAAGCAAATTCTCTTATATTTGTGAGTTTCATCCCCATTTATGTGATAACAAAGAACAGGTTATCTTTGTCTGAAGTATAAAGAAGATAAAAACACTTTAAACAATTTTTCTGGTAATGAGTATACTTACATAATTTATATTTAAGTTAATTCTTTAAAACACTAAGGGGAAAAGAGTAACTGTCATATAACACAATGAAAACTCCTAATTATGATGGCTTGGAATGGAAAAAATTGGCTATTGCATTTGATTGATGATTTACAATAAAATTTGTAAAATCATGTAATAAAATGCTGTATTATATTCAAACATACTGTTCCTTTCTCCATTGAGGATGTTGAAATAAGCAGGATTTCATTTTCACCTTGCTGCACAAGACTAATTCTCATTAAGTTTTATGTGAGCCACAGTAAGAGCGAATGCAGAATACGTCCCAAATATTTTATTGGGTCAAAGTTCCCCAAGGAAGAAAACTTCTATCACAGAGATTGAGTGGCTTAATTCAGACTTTGGTCAGAATTTTAGCCTTCCAGTGTTGAGGGAAATATGCAAAGTAACTGGAGATTTATATTAAAGATCAAGAATAGAAATGCATGGCTCCACAGATTCATAGTAGGATAATGGGTTTTTTTTCAACAATCATCCACTAACTCATGTTGTTATTTTGTTGTGCATAAGTAATTATTTCTTTATTAAGACATTTACAAAAAAATTGACTAATAAAGATCTGACCCCCAAAAAAGTAGAAAATACTACTGATAGTTTTGTTCTTGGAAAAGCTAAATTTCTTTCAATTTCCTCAAAAGCTTCATTTTCCTTTCACTGCTGTGAAAAAAACCCTTAATTCTGAAGAAAAAAATCTTTGTTTTAATAGGCCTCTGAAAGGCTTCTCCCAAAATTCCAAAATTCTCACGCTGTATAAATTTCTATATTGTAATTAAAATTGATGGCCCAGCAAAAATCAAGAGAGTATCTGGCCCACGAAGATTAGGAATCCATATATAATTGCTTTATGCGGTTTCACATAACAGCTTAATTAGTCTGCTGATTTCTCAGGACAGGGTGATGGGTGTTTCTCTGACATACCTCAAATGTCACTCTAGAGAAGAATTTTAAAGCAGTTATAGCTCAGTGAAATGGTGCTGCCTGGTGGATGACAATTGGAGGTAAAAATTGAACAGGATTTTTTTTTGCCTGTTTCAATGAAAATAGGCAACTACAATCTTTAAAACACAAAACCCATACCATTTAAGTCTTCAGCTTGCCTCAATATGGTTGTATAGCAACAGATAACCAAAAACAAGGGACAGAACCCCTTTTATGTTGTTGATAAATGTCATTTCTGAAGCACTGGTAGTGAAAATTATGAGCCAAATGGTTGGATGAAATCAAGAGATCCCTGATGCTTTATAGTAAATGAGGATTTGTCCAATTATAGACATCAGCAGGCCTTTTTAATGGTATTCTCCTTTTATATAAACATAAGTACAGACATATACAGGAAGTATCTGACAGATTTTATATGTGGTATTTCTTTCTGAAATTTCTGTCTCAATTTTCAGTTGAAGAATTCAGTATAGATTTGAAATAACCGTTTCTTTCATTTTATTATTACTTGAGGCTCTGTTCATTAATTTTTCCTGATTTCATCCACAGAGTGTTCAAAACCCCAAAAATAACAGAGTTTGGTCCTACTACACTAACTTGTTAATATTTCAGAACTGAAAAAACATAGTTTATGAAGGAAATAACATATTGCACCAAAATCCAAAGCCACAAATAAAAGAAATGCCCTCATATTCTACAAAATAAAATTATTTTCAGGGAAAAGGGATCACGAGCAGAGGTAATATCATACTAAGAGGTAAAAAATTATGCTATAAAATAATGGCTTATTGTTTTTATATTAAGGATATTAGAAAAATATGAAGTACTTCAGACACAACTTCACTTGTCTCCAAACATGTCAACAAACAAAAAACATGATAACTTAAATACTCCTTTGAAAGAACTGTCAAAACTCCTACTTAAGAGGAATCAAGATTTTATCCAATGCAGCCCCAAATATGTACGGCTATAATATTTAAGGCAGAATTATGTGTACAGAAGTGATTGTGTTTCTGTCAGAATTTCAGAGATGTATAGGAAAACAAAAGGTCTCTGAGGTTGGCTTCTCTTACTGAGAAGATCATTTCTTTCCAACCTCAAACATGCTAGTGTCCTGTTTCCTTCCAGTCTTGCCTCTCTGCCTTTCTACAAGCACCTCTGACACTATGAAATTTATTTTCAAAGCCCTTTTCTTCTGGCCTTCCTTGAAATCTAGTTCTAATTTAAAATAAAGTTACTCAAACACCTCATTCTCCCAGTTTGTATTCACCAAGATAAAAACATAAGCTTTTCATGTGACTGTAATCTAATTGTCTTTATTTTCATTTACTACCCCACTCTGTCCCCTGCCTGTGTTATCTTCTCCTGTTGTTCTTGTACTTGCTTAGACTGTAAGCTCTTAGGGGGCAGGGAATCTGTCTTTGATTTGTTCTATGTAGCACCATGAACTATGGAGCTATATAAATAATAAAAAATGTAGATCTTCTTAAATGATGTTTGAAGTGATAGTGATCTGATTGACTGCCAGTCTAGTAATATATTGTTTTAGCTCATTGCCTGAAATCCTAATCACTACAGCAATAGAATAATCAAAAAATAAAAATAATAAAACCAACCCGAAGGAGCTATCACACTGACTCATCTTACTGGAATTTTCCCTACATGGTTGGGGTATGGGAATAGAATGTCATGTTCACATACCTTCTATAATAGTTTAAATATTAAATCAGCTACTTAGAAACTAAAAAAAAAAAAAAAGCAGGTTAACACAGGTATACAGTCTGAGCTTCAGAATGAGAATTTTGATTGCTCAAAAAGTGGAAAAGTTATGATTAAGAGATAGGTTAAGCTTAACACCAGGAACCTTTCCTTCCTTCATCTTATCAACCCACTTAGGTCTTCTCACTCAAGCTTCTCATTGCTGAAATCCACAGCAATCCTATTTTTTAAAAAAATTTTATGAATAAAATTAGAAATTTTCTACAAAATATGGTTCTAAACAAAATTAAAGAAATACTGCCTCTTGCTTCTGTCAAGAACACCATCTTTCTATGACTGCTGAGTGAAAAATTGTGGGAATTCAAGAAAAATTCTAGCTATATAAATGAAAAGAGACAACACATATGTTCTTGAGGACAAACATATCAGCTTTCCCTTTTACTTTTTTCATCCTCAAGGAGTGACATTCTGTATCACTGAACTTAGTTCTTCAGAATATTGAAGTGTATACTGGCAATTATGCATGGATCTGTCTTTCAAGAGTTCTCAGAGCCAAGAAAATGCCTTTCTTTCCTGATCACAGAATGTATTTTTTTCCCAGAAACTTAGGAAACCTAGTCCTAAGTTTAAAAAATGACAAAATTGTAGAATTTCCTCTTTGCCGTGACTTTAGGGGTTTTGCTTGGTGGAAATAGGATACATTACATTAAAATTACCGGAAAAAATTGTATGAAATCATTAAAAATTGGTAAAGGATCTGTAGTTAGGATTCCTTGGGCAATGCTGACCACCATAGGCCAAATCTTTAATGATTTGGTTTTGAAGGTACAGTTCAATTTACAATGGATTTATGCCAAAGATTGTCTTACGACATTTTCCCACAAGTAGTCTGCTGGCTGTTAAGCCCAGGGAAAGAAAAGCAGCCTAACACAGTGGTAACCATTATAATTCCCTTTATACTGTAACCACCCTCACTGGCTGGGCCATTTGGGCTCTGGTAGGTCAACAGAAATTTCTGATATGTACACCTGATAAGCAATTTTATTCATCTTAAAAATTATAATTTGGCATAAGTACAACTGGCCTGTGGGCTTATCATAGAAGAATTGTATCACAGAATTATTGAGGTTTTGAATTGCTGAGTCTAAGGCCTTCTTCAGGTGGAAGGGCCTTCTTGAGACTCTTGAGTACAATTCCCCTGTACAAAGAAGGGTCAACTAGAGAAGTTTGTCCAGGGATGAAGACTCCCTGGCCCCTCTGTTTCTAGTGTACAATTATGCTGACAGCGAGGAATATTTTTTTGCTCACATTTAAAAGTAATTTATTGTATTTCAGCTTGTACTCACAGCCTCTTATACCCTCACTGGCTGCCACTGAGAGTCTAGTTCCATTTTCCTCCTGTCAGATTCTGCTAAGCTTTCTCTTCTCCAACTGAGTGGTTCCAAGTGTCTCAGCCTCTCCCCATATTACAGATGCTCAATCCCTTAATCATATTTGTGGCCATTAACTAGGGACCATAATCAATTATTCATATTAGTATGAGTGTTTCTCATACTGGGGAGACCAGAACTGGACCCAGCACTCTAGATGTGTTTCACCAGAAGGGGAAAGATTCCATTCCCTGACCTGTTGGCAGTGTTCTTCCTAATGCAATCAAGGCTAAATTGCTTTTCTTAACTGAGAGGTTAAGAAATTGCTGGCTCAATTTCAGTTTGCTGTCCACCAGAGCTCCCAAGCAAAACTCTGCAAAACTGCTAACTACTTGGTTTGCTCCCAGCATGGGCTGGAACATGGGCTTATTCTTCTCCAGGTGTAGCACTTGTCATTTCTCTTTCTTCAGCTTCATGTCCTTCCTGCTGGCCTATCTCTCCAGCTTGATGAAGTCCTCCTGAATGCCAGCACAACTTTCTGCTTTATTGAACACTCCTCCTTTAAGAAATATTCAGACTTGCACACTGTTCTATCATACACATAATTAATGAAATTATTAAACAATATGAGGCCCTTTCGATACATCTCTAGTTACTGGCCTATGGCTGGACTTGCTGGCACTGATTAAAACCCTTTCAACTGATAGAGAATCCAGTTTTCAACTTACCCTATTTTTGCCAGATTTAGTCCATATGTCTTAAGTCTATCTGTGAGGCTGTTATGGGGAATAATGCTGAGAACCTTGTTAAAGTAAAATATAAGTAGCATTCACTATTCTTCCCTCTTCTGTGAAGCAGATCTTCTTATTATAGAAGGCTATTATATTGGCCAAAGACCATTTCCCTTTTGCAGATACATGCTGACTAATATCAGGCACTTTCTTGACCTCAATACTTGGAAAATATTTCCAGAAGGATTTTCTCCGTCATCTTTACAAAGATGGAGATGAGGCTGACAAACCTGTAGTTTTCCACGTCCTCCTTATTGCCCTTCATGAAGGGAGGAGTAACATTTACTTTCTTCCAAACCTTGGGCATCTCTGCCAGCCAACATAAGCTTTCAAAGATTATCAAGAATTACCTCACAATGACATCAGTCGGCTCCCCTATACTTTGCAAGTGCATCTCACCAAGTCTCACCAATTTATATATGTCCAGTTTGTTTAAATGTTTCCTAACATGGTCCTTTTCCACCAAGGGTAAATCTTTTCTCCAGACTTTCTCACAGGTCTCAGAAACCTTACTTTTCTGAGAGCTTACCCAAATTAAAAAAACATATTGACTACTTGGCCTTCTCCATGTTCTTTGTCAGCAGTTCTCCACCTCCACCTCCTACAACCATCCCATGATTTCCCTAGTCTTCTTTTTCCTGATGGCATATCTTTAGAAACCCTTCTTGTTTCCTTTTACAAGGAGGGATTGGATTGATTGCTGGATTAAGTCCAGGTGGGTTTTGGCATTTGTAAAACTGTGACTGCATTCCATAACTGCCTCTCTTGGGATTCTTAAAAGCAGATCTTGGAATATCAAAGAACAAGTTCTGTTTTCCCTAAATCCAGGATTATGATCTAAATTTTTGTCTTGATACTCTCCCTTCAGAACCCTGAAATTGATCACCTGCAACCCATACTGTCCCTCGCCCTGATTCTTCCATGTTTTTAAGAATGAGATTGAATAGACGAAGATTCTCTTGTTTCCTCCAACATCCCTGTCAGGAAATTATCAAACCACTCTGGAAATCTGAACTGATTGTGCCTTGATTTGTTGTCTCTTCAGCAGGTACCATGGTTGCTCAAGTCCCCATTAGGACTTGAAGACTTTGAGAACATGAAGCTTCTTCAAGTTATTATGTCTGAAGACATAATCTACCCAAAATTTGCAACGTGCAAGACAAATTTTGTACTAGACATCAGACTATAAATATCCTTAATCTTCATTTGCTGTAAAATTTATAATTTTATCTTGAAACTGTTGTTCAATAATATTAAAAAATTGTCACTGTTTAGAAAATGATTTTTTTTCATATTTATTAATATTTTCTGAATATAATTATTTTCTTTTTCTGAATATTTCTGAGAATTGCCAAGTGAACCATGACTATATATCTCTACCGGACTTCAATTTTTAGTGAGTTGTGTGATTTGCTGTAAAAAGTTTCATCTCTGCATATGTGATGCACAGCATTCACTATCTTAGAGTGAGCAGAAAGAAAACAAAAGCAATTTTTGTTGTTCTGTTTTGAAACATATCAGACAGTTCAGTTGCTTCAAAATGAAGAGTAATTTTCAGCATACCTTGTTAATTGATATGTTTCCATATTTCTCTCTGAAAGTTTTGAAGCAAATTTTCCTAATGAGGGAAAAAAAGAAACACAAAAAAAGAGAGAAAGAAAAAGCATAGAGAAACAAAACCTCTTTGTGTTCAAGTTTTGTGAGATTCAGGAGTTATTTCTAAACCAGAATACTATATTACTTAGTAAATTTTCAGATAGCAGGATTTTAAATCACAGACTCATCTCAACTTGTTAACTGCAGAAGAACGTGTATTGCTTTCAAATTTCTAGATGAAATATGTACAATTGTCTGAATTAGCCCTAGATTCAGAAGAAAGTGTCCAAGAAACATGTTAGCTCCAGTAGAGCTAAATATTTTCCTCTATTTGGTAAAGTTTGTCAGGCTTTTTCCTTTTAGGTTTCGTCTTTAATCTCAAATCTACCACTACTTGCCCTGGAGTCTTGATTCTCTTTATGTATTTTAAGGTCAGTACAGAGTTCTACCAGACAGATGATCATGGGCCAGAATCTCACCTGAGGGAGACAAAATGTGGCCCTTAAAATCAAAGAAACAGAATTATAAACAGGCTATTGATACTGTCAGTTGTCCACATTTCATCTTTTCTGGTGATAGGTATTCTAATTGCCTGACTTATTTTC